CGTTGCCACCGGGGCTGTCCGGAAACGAGCGGTACCATAGAGAGGTAGGGAAGGAGAGGCCTTCTCGCGGCCGCCCGTGCCGCTGCTCTCTATGGTGAGGCCTCCGCGGTACCCTGCCTGCTGGGGGCTCCCCGCATCGGCATCATCCCTGCGGCTGCTAATTGCGTGCGCCCCTTTATTGTCAAGCGTGATTAACTGCGGAGGTCTCCCGGGGGAAACCGAAGCTCAGACCGATGCTAACCATCCCCCTGCGCAGCCGTCCACCCGGTGCCGGGAGAAACCCACAGCATCCGCTCAGGAAGGGATAAAACAGCAGCGCCAGAGACAGCGGATAAATGCTGCTGCCACAGCTCCAGCCCTAGCCTCCCCCACAGCCCTGACTTTATTTCATCCTTAAGCCCCGTCGCTCGGCTCATTTCCAATGCAGCTACTCACGCCTCCTATGCAGGGACACCCCATCTTGCTTCACCCCCCGAGCAATACACCAGGCAGGGAAATCATCTCAGCGGGCCCAGGAGATGCTTAAGGGTTGTACAGCTGCCAAACCACGCAGGCGAGCGCTAACAGGGCTTTTTAAAAGCAATTAAAACTGAGAGGAATTTACAGCTAGAAGCTGATTTTAATAAGGGTCATAAAAGCAACATGCTTTCTCGCACGGTCTTGAAAATTAGTTCATGGCTGTCTGCAAAGGCATGCTGAGAACAGCAGCTGGCCATATGCCTCCGTCTGCACCCGCTTCTCCAGGGTTTTTGCAGTGAGGACCAGGATTTCCGATGCCTTTAAAGCCTGTGCCTGTGCTCCAAGCCCCCAGCCTTAGCTCAGCACAGCAATTACCAGCCTATTGCCCAGAGAGGCAAGGCTGGAGGCTCATTCCAAATATCAGCATTGATATCATCCACAAAAAAGAGATGAGTTTAAATTTGGGGCATCGCTCAAGGCAGAAATTTTGGGGGTTCTGAGCATAGGTCAGAAATCTCCCTTTTCCCCATTAACCTCTGCTCTATCTGCTGCTTCTGACAGTGAATAATCCACATCTTTCCCAAATCACAAGTCATCTCCCGCTGGTGAAGGACCTGCGAACACTTGCCTTTAGATGGCACTGTGTTAAACAACATCCATGAAATCCAGCTGTGTAAAGGGCTGTTGCTCCCACCGACGCTTAGAAACATTTTGGGACTGACCTCTCTGCAACAGGGGAGGAGAAAGAGCATTTTGTGCCCACAAGCAGGGACACGTGATGCTGAAATTACCCCACCCGAACCACAAGCAACACTAATGCATGTTCACCACCCCCATCGCCGGAGCCAGGAGCACCATTAATTTAGCAGGTTTAGCATAATTTGCCTCTGATGCTCAATTCAGAAACCAATAATGGGAGTGGGAGGGTAGCTCTGAGGAAGGTCTGTGCTACCCCTGAGCCCTGGGTGACTCCCAGGAGCACTCAGGCCATTTGATCCAGCCTCCCTCCCACCTACAGACCCGGCCTAACCCATGCTCAAAGGGCAAGAATTTGCTCTTTGAATGTTTCACATTGTCCTGGATCAATAAACCCACATGGGGCTGGTTAGAGATGACACAGCAATGCCACCAGCCCAGGGTGTCAGCAGCCCCCAGGCACCAGCCCAAGATAAATCAGTAATTCCCTATTTCTGATGCCAAAGAACTCTTGGGCCAAGACACTAGATAGATCCAGGGCCAGCGTTCCCTGCCCCCAAGTCTGGATCTGCTGCACAGGGACACGCCATGGCCATCCTGGCTCATGTCACAGCAGTCACATGGGGACACTTCTTCAGTGGGTCTGAGGATGTCCCCACACTTGGTGAAGGTGAACAGGGCACGTGATGCCCACGGGAGGGCAAACGCCACGGGCTGCCCACTGCAACCCTCACCCTGCCACGGGCCAGGACCAGGGCAGAGCATCCCTGTGCCTCGGGACACATTCGGGATGTGGAGCCTTGTAAATCCTGGTTGTGGGGCTGGGGGGGGGGGGGGTCCAGCCCTGGGGGGGGGGCAGCGCACGAATCAGGGAGTGAAACCCTGGGCTCAGAGCAAAGCCTTACACAGCCCAGGGCCAGCACTAACTCCCACACTGGTCCCAGTTGCGCCGTTGCCTTCTCTGCCACCAGATGTGACTCTGGGCTGGACTTTGCCGTCAATCTTGCAGGTCTGGGAGAGCAGAGCACCCCGGGAAAGCCAGGCACAACATCCCAGAGGGGCTTGGAACTGGCTACGTGAGCATCCCACCTGCTGGCAGCGGCTCCGTGGGCTGAGTTTACCCTCCCTAAACAGGAAAAGTCTCCCAAGTCCTGGAGACCTGTCTGCCTCCAGCGGGTGATTCTCCTGCTAAACTCTTGCAATAGCAACAATCGGGTATGGGGTCACGTCCGGCACCCCAATGTGGATACCCCACATAGAACGAGGGTCTTTCCCCCAGCCCTGCTCTGGGCACTATGGGATACCAGTGTGACTTGCCCCAGCACAAAACCCAGTAAAAGAAGGTGCACTTCAACGTGTTAAGGCTGAATTTGCCAAATCGTTGTTCCTAGAAGGGACTGATTTATCCCAAAGTCAGGCAAAGCGCAGGCAGAAGTGACACAACCCCCTCCCCACGATACACTCCTTCCCTGAGCCTCCCACCACACATTTGCACCCCCATCCTACACATCCCGGCAGCTCTCAGCTGGGAATCAGCTCTGGATGCTCCAGACATGGTGCCACATCCCCAGCTGCATCCCCCCTGCTCCTGCTGCCCCAGTCAGCAGATGGGGGTTTCCTCTCCCCAGGTGAGAAAGCAGAGTGGATAAAACTAAGCCCTGGCTGGGAATAACTTGGGGGGGACCCCCCTTTTCCATCCTGGCTCTCCTTCCGTGGTGGCTTCATGCACCATCATCTATCCAAAAGCAAAACATCGGGGAGAGATGTTTCCTACGCAATGGCTTTATGGAGGCGTGTGTCTGTGTTGCCCCGACCCTGCTAAAACCATCCCTGCTGAAAGTCCCCACGGGAAACAGCCCCTTGAGTCCTGGGGCCTCGTCCTCACTGGATGCCCACCAGCTCTGTTATGGGGGGAGCGTGGACCATCAGCTCCTCATATCTCCGGAGGAAGAGCCGGAGCCTGGAGGTGTAGGTGTCCTCGTTGTACGGCAGCTTTTTCTGCTTCAGGTACTGGGAGACAATGGGTTTGATCTGCAAAGGCAAAGACAAAGTCACCTCTGTGCAGGATGTCCTAGTGTTTGCACAACGTTCCCAGCCTGAGGCATCTCCAAGCTTGCTGCAACGTGCCCAGAAATCCCATCCCACAGGCCCCAAACGGGGCTGGAGGCAGCAGCACCAGCTATAACGTCTTTACCGTGAAAATTGAGAGGAAAGTGTGGTTTCCAGTTGCAGCAACATGGTGAGTTCACCCTGGCAAAATGCCTTTGCAGGACTCCAAATTAAGAGAGATGCCCTAATGAGGCTTTAACAAGGGCCAGCCACGCATGCTCACAACTTGCATCCGTAGTTATCCCCATGTGCCCATACAGCTGGCTCAGGGACCGGGCTGGGAGGCTGCCAACAGCTTAATTACCCCTTCCCTACAACACGCCTTTGTGGGAGGCAGGTCCTACCGGCCCTGTGAGCTCAAGCAAAGGGCATGACCTGAAACCCACAGGTGCTCCCTCTCCCTCTTCACTATTACTTAATTTTTCCCCCAGCTTGAGACTGAAAATAAATCCACAGCGTTAAACGAGGGGAGATCTGGTGCTGAAGGGCAGTGCATGGACCTGACTTGGGGTTCTCTTGAGCCAGGGCAACATTCAGAGCCCGCGCTTTGAACACACCCCACACCTCAGAGCAACAAGTACGGGCATGACCAAAATTATAGGATATTTGCCTGGACGCCAGCTGAACCAAAAGCCAGACTGCACGGCACTGGAGATGCTCTCCCAAGGGAAGAGCTGGGAGGATCCCGGACCACTGGGAGGCTGCTGCAGGCTGGATTTGGGACCAGGGAGCAGAAACCCAGGAGAAACAGGAGTGGGGATGGAGGGAGGTGGGCTAGGGGCTGCTGCAAAGCAGCGAGACGTCTCTAGCATGGGGGGGAGCAGCACAGAGAGGTCCCGTGGTGGGGAGAGCTTGCAGCAGGGTGGCGGTGAGACGGATGGTCTCATCCCTGTGTCACCTCCCAGTGCGCTCGTCCACCCCACGGGGCTGTCTCACCTTCAGGCACATGTTGTCGGAGAGGCTGGGGAAGAGGTGATGCTCCACGTGGCAGCTGATGAGTGAGTGGCCAAAGGACCAGTCGAGTAGGGCGTTGCGGGGCAGGTTGAGGACGCCCAGGCTCATGAGGTGGATCCGCTTGGGTTTCCGATCGGCCGCGAACATGGGGAGGCCAATGTGCTGCGGCAGAGGGAGGTGGGGACCCTGAGGCACCTGCCACCACCCC